ATCTTCTTGTGTAACCTATCAGTCATTGATATCTCATACACTTCGACCATTCTACCCAAACTGTTGGTCATTCTCCTCACTCAGTGTAAGACCATATCCTTTCTAGAATGCTTTATTCAGGTGTATTTTTTCATGTGCTTTGCTTGTACAGAAGTCTTATTACTGGCCGCCATGGCTTATGATCGCTATGTAGCAATCTGCCACCCTCTTCACTACTCAATTCTTATGAGTCCAAAGCACTGTGCTCGAATAGTACTTTCAGTTTGGGTCATGGGTTTATTTGATCCTGTTCTACATGCTATTTTAATTGCTAACTTATCATACTGTCACTCTCATCAAATAGACCACTTTTTCTGCGATTTAACCCCATTGCTTAAACTTACCTGTAGTGACACATTTACTATTGCGTTATGTATATATATTTATGGGACTCTCCTGTGTGTCAGTACATTTGCACTTACGTTGATATCTTATGTATTTATTATTTCTACTATCCTAAATATACAATCAGCAAGTGGTCGAAATAAAGCTTTTTCTACCTGTAGCTCTCACATAACTTGTGTTATTATATTTTACGGAACAATTATCAGTTTGTATCTGAGACCAACATCTACGTATTCTCCAGGACAGGACAAGTTTTTTGCCCTTTTATATATTATACTTATTCCAATGCTGAATCCTCTTATTTACACCCTGAAGAATAAGGACTTTAATAAGGTTTTCAAACATTTCAACTTTTATTAGAATCCTAAACAATGAAATAGTGAATAAAAAATTGTGACAATTTTATTTTCTTGAAGAATAAGAACTTTAATTAATTTACTCCAAGAATCAAGTAATCATGTTTTTACTCTTATTTACATTGCAAAACTAAATTTAGTCAGCAAAGCCTCTGATCACCCAAACTTGCTATTTTATTATTTATTTATGTACTAGCTATGCATTCCATGTGTCAGATACATGTTATGCTGATAGACTTTCAAACAAAAAATATGTTTTTTTTAGTAGAGACGAATAAAACATTGTTTTATCCTAAACTATACATTAATGTAATCCAATAATCCATTCCTTCAGGCATGAAGTACAAGGTAACATTTGAACCAGTAGTAGGCTTATAAACTAGATAGAGAACATATTACTGGATTTTGAGGAGTCAACAGATGTAACACATGACTAACGATGTGATAATGTTTGTTTAAAATGCTTTTTCATTCCACATTATTGAATGCATTTAACATCTACCTACAGCAGATGTTTAAAGTCTATAGTTTTGAATTGGGACCTGTTATGCAAACATGTCATTGTATCATTTTAGACTTTAACTGTCTTCTAAAATTATTAGTTTTTATACCTTTATGTCTTTGTCATATTGTGAAATGTCAAACAGGGCACTTTCTATAGATTGAATATTTGCATGTCAGGTCCAGTACAAAGCATCAATTTCATTTTCCTTGAGATTATATTTTTATTTGTAAATTCCATAAATGATCTTGAAATGTCATAATTGTTTCGGGTTGACATCTGTAAGGAATCCCTACTTTATTTAAATTTTATTTCATTCATTATTTTTCAGTTGTGTGTTCTAGCATTGTTTTGATTCATCCTGTAATTTCTTTTTTTATTTACTATATCTCATAGTTTTGTAAAGAAACTGAAACAATAAGATATAATTTTATAGAACTGCCACTTGTGGACATTACCACACAGCTGTGTCCTTGTGTACTTAGAGGAGTCAGTGCATGCAAATGCATTTCTTATGGAAAGAGCACTGATTTATAACATTTTCCGATGATACTGCTCTATGTGTCTTTTTATTGTATTTTTAAGGATATATTGACGATAATTGAAGTTTGTTTATTTTTACAAGTGTCACTTTTTTATTGAATGTCAGTATCCTTTGTGTACAGTGTCCTTGTGTTTGTTCTGGATATCATTTTTTTTGTTGTTCATGCAATGTTTTTGTTTTTAAAGTGCACTGTAAAGTAACTATGTCTGAGTAGCATTTAATGGAACCTGAATATTATGCAAGCCTGTATATATATATACACACAGACACACATTTGAATACAATGGGTTACATTCCCTTATAAAATTAAATTACCAATGTAGAGCTAACTGGATTCTCCTAAAGGGGAAGAATGGAAGCAGGGACTGCATGATCGCGATCGCCCAGTGGAAGAGACGCCCCTTGATTTTTACAGGAACATATCTCACTGAGTTGGACTGGAAGGATAACTCACAGGATTTACATAATACTAGAAAGGAAATACAAGAGTAAAAAGGAAATAAGGAATAAAAGAGTAACAATAAAAGAGTAAATAAAACATATCCAGAATTCTTTAATGTATTAAAATGTATAAATGTAATAAATATGATTGTATTCATAGTTTCCGTATGAAAATGTGTAATTGTGAGATATTATGCATTAAACATAGTCACAGTATTTTCTAATTTGTCAGCCTAATGACAGATATACTTGCATATTATAATTGGTACATCTTGTAAAAATTCGGTGGTATAAACCTACCAGTAGTGTTCACTAGATGTCTCCCTACACTTTAGTGAAGAAATCTGCAGTTTTGTATAGATAAGGCATTAAAAATGCAAAAACAAAACAAAAAAAAACAAAAAATAAATTTTGAATAAAACTTAACCTCGAAACTTGTAGTGCTTTCACAGGCACGTGGCAAGCCACGTGGTCCAAAAGAAGCAACACTAATCAGAAGTGTATCTTTCTGGTCAACCCCATTAATCCTGTATTTTGTAATTTTTTTGTTTTTTTTCTGCTGTTTTAACAAAAAAACTGGGATGGGATATGAAATGTTGAATTACATTTGACCCATCTGAATCGACAAAGGGTTAATACTTGTATTTTGGGTTTTCAAACCCTTAATCCAGTTATTTATAAAATTAATCTTGGAATTAGTTTTTCAGACTCCTAGTGGAAGATTTTGTTCTACACAGAAAGGCTGCTGAGAGAATGAGAAGTTAAGCGCCAATGAAAACATGAACTTTCAATTTCCAAAATGTTAATAATTAGTTTATTCAAAACAAGCTTTAGGGACATGTAGAGTATTATATATTCTTTTTTCCTATTAATTAGGTACGGATGTCTGGATTGACATAAGTAACAGATGGTATCAATAAGTCTAGAATGTGGTAATTGATGGTCGTGTCCTTACATGAGTTAAATTTAAAAGGACTGACGTCATTATGGTCATAGCTATATAAAATAGTGGACAAAGGACCATGAGGTTGTTGCTTGTTGTCTGTAATCTAACTCTCCCTCAGTACAGCAATTAACTGCTGGCAAGAGACCTGTACGCCAAAGACTGACGGGCAGGTAGGCAAAACGCCAATGTTTTAAAGGGTACTAAATTAAAATCAAGACAATGTGTAATGACAGTAATGTGTACAATGACAGGTGCACTTTAATTTAACCCCATTAAGGACACAACTTCTGGAATAAAAGGGAATCGTGACGGAATATTTCCATCCTTAAGGGGTTAAAAAAAATCAGTTACTTTCTAACTCCCCTCTCTACAGAGAAGAAGTGAGAACTGTTTGACCTGGCTGGTTATGTTATCCGCTTTATTATTCAGTTTTTCAGATTGAATTAAAATGCTAAATTATCATCGGAGGAAAAAAACAGGCAATTTACAATATTCAGTAACTATATGATGCAAATGCAATTTGTGATATAGGGGGCCATGTGAATCATATGACATTTTGAAAAAAGTACATTTACATGAACACACAGATCACAGTTGTTTGAATGTTTCGCTGAAAGGAAAACTATAGCCAGGTGTATGTCATACTACTTTATTAAGTTTAATTCATTCTTACAAGACTATAAGAAAGTAGAAATTCGAACTACCAGAAAAATATATATATATTTGTACAATACAATATAAATAGTACAAATTGTGCTGCCCCAATTAAAACGCCAAACAAGAAATACATAATAAATAAAACAATCAGGGTTGGACAAAATAGTGTTCTTTCAGAAAAAAAAAAAAGATAATCTTATTTTACACATAATCTTACTTAATAAATGTTTTATTGCGTAAAAGCCCAGGAAATGGCCATTTGTGTAAAACAACACAGGGTCTGATATATAAAAATATATTGATTACAATGAGAGCTCTCACAGAGAGAAATCTTGTAAAGCTTGTACATGTAAATGCAAAACAAGCAATTCTAGGTTAAGGTAAAGGTACCACTTTTCTACTATTAGAGTTACTCAAACAAAAAAACTGTGTTTTCATAAAACACTGTTTTGGTTAGAGCAGAGTAGCCCTTGATTTGCTGGTCCATCCCTCTTTCCCGCCATAAAACTTAAAAAAAATATATATAATTTTACCACCATTCTAATGTCGAAGCCAAGTTCTCCTCTCCTGCTATCACTCCCTCTTTGTTGTAGGGCAGTGGTCCCCAACCCAGTCCACAAGTACCCCCCAACAGTCCAAGAATTAGGAATTAACCAGTTGTGTGTACGGTGTTTTTAGAAAGTAGAAAAAAAACACTTTAGACACAACAGGCTAATCTCTATATCCTGGACTGTTAGGGGGTACTTGAGGACTGGGTTGCGAACCTTTGTTGTAGGGGAAGGATGGGATGAGAGGAGAACATAGGCAGTACAGAGGTAGGGCCATGTCGTTATTAGACATCTGTGGCCAGCATTCTGTGTGTACGGACTTCAGACATCCAACTTGCACAGAATTAACAGTCTTGTTCCGGGCTGGCTAATGGTTGCAGAGGTCTTGAAATCTGAATGTGTAGCATTTCATAGTGCACATACAGAATCCAGGCACCGTGACTACTTCAAATCACTGAAGTGGTCATGGTCATAAGAGTAACCATTTCACTTGAAAAATTGATGCCCTAATCCTGCTGACTGCTGAGATATAGCATTAATAAAGGGCCTCTAGTGCTGTTTAACCAAATAAGGAGGTAGTATTCTAAGCTTAATAAAATATTATAATTATATCGGTATTATATAAAAACTAAATTAAAAACATAGCGATTTATAATTTACCAATTGGAGAATACATTAAGTCTTGACCCCTTCTTTAGCAGCTCTGCAGAAGTGAGAAGTGTGTCGTTGGACCACCAGGGAGCGTCAGAGCCCACTGGGGATCGAGGTAAGGAGGCAAATCACTGATACAAAGTTTGCCCCATTACTGGGGAACCGGGCAACCGGGCCAAACTACTTCTGACATCATAACCAATACAGCAGAGCAACCCTTTAACCCTGTATGTATTTACACAGCTGCATACAGCCACTATACTCATAGATTTAAACACAAGGCAAGCACAAACATGTGCAAACATACATATAAATATAGGCAGTTATCAAATATCAATACATGATGTTTGGACATGTTTATGCCTGCAATGTCCTCCAGTAAGTAAATTCATCAAACTCACTATGTATGCGTACCTGCAGATTATTTAGGCGGGCAGGGGTCACATTACAATTTTGGACCTAAAGGTTCTTGAAATGTAAATTCGACCCTTGATGTAGGGGTCATGTTGCATTGAATGTTCATTGTATTTTTAAAAAAGTTGGTATAATGCTTCCTTATGAATCAGCCTCATCACCAAAAAAATATTACTTGTATTACTTCTAAATACACTGCCTGGCCAAGAAAAAAGTCGCCACCAATAAAAAAGGTTGGACCGGCTTTAGCTTTGATTACAGCATGCATTCGCTGTGGTATTGCTTCAATAAGCTTCTGCAATGTCACAAGATTTATTTCCATCCAGTGTTACATAAATTTTTCCACCAAGATCTTGTATTAATGATGGGAGAGTTGGACCACAGTGCAAAGCCATCTCCTGCACATCCCAAAGATTATCAATGGGGTTAAGGTCTGGAATCTGTGGTGGCCAATCCATATGTGAAAATGATGTTTCATTCTCCCTGAACCATTCTTTCACAATTTGAGCCCGATACATCCAGGCATTGTCATCTTGGAATATGCAAGTGCCATGAGGGAAGAAAAAAATCCATTGTTGAAATAACCTGGTCATCCAGTAAATTCAGGTAGTCCGCTGACCTCATTCTTTGGGCACATAATGTTGCTGAACCTAGACCTGACCAACTGCAGCAACCCCAGATCATAGCACTGCCCCCACTGGCTTGTACAGTAGGCACTAGGCATGATGTGTGCGTCACTTCATCTGCCTCTCTTCTTACCCTGATGCACCCATCACTGGTGGTTCCCCACTATCCTTCCAGTTTTTAATAATGCATTGGAAAGACTAACATCTTTTCCACGATCACGGGATGTGTCTTTTGAAATGGTTGTTTAAGAAATGAGAAGCTACTCATTGCATCAGTTGGGGTTAAATACCTTGTTGCCAGCTGAAAGATAATCACCCATGCAGTAACTATCTAATAGGAAGCTCTTACCTATTTGCTTAGTTAAATCCAGGCGGCGACTTTTCTTTTTGGCCAGGCAGTGTATAATGTAATAGAAAGGAAATGTATATGTAATAATAATAAGTCACTTAGAGTTCAGTAATTCTTTTAAATAGCCAAATTACTTCTAAATGGCATTCATTTTTGCCTGGCTGTCTAGGCTTACATGCATTGGCAGTACAAAGTATAATCATCTTTGACACTGAGTCTTTAAAAGATGTTTTTTACCTAAGTCGTACAAATTCAAAATTTGAGGAAATAAAATTGACTAAAAATAGATTAACTGAAAATAAAAGTTATTTTAATGGAATTTAGATTGCTACTACAGGCATTCAAACAAACACAATAAATCAATAACAAAGTTTGCAGAAGACTTCACTAGGACTGAGACATATGAACATATTAAAGAGGTATCCCAAGAACCAAAACCACTGCTACATCTTATTGGTGAATGACGGATATGGTGGCAGAACATTTTTAGTGAATCATTTTCTGTTGGTGTGACAAAAAAAAAAAAAAAGGGGGACTTCTACTCACCCCAACCCCAAGCCAATCAAAGATTCTCACTGACATCAAAATGAGGAAGCTTAATTATTTACCAACATTACTTGTATTGGTTAGCAGGATTTCACTGTGTTGAATGAGTAATTTGAAATTATGTTATTTGGACAGAAAGGTTGAATGGCATACCAGAAACAGTCGATCAATCTTTTAATCACTTATCCTCATTATGTTAACCCTTTCATGTGCACAGTGGGGCAAAATCATTATTACAATGACATTTGATTAAGCATTATAAATGTTTTTTTTGTTTTTTTTATAAATAGTACATTCAAATTCAAAGAAAAACAAAAAATAAACAGGTTAACCCGTTAGACATTTTTCTTCTTTTAGGGAGGAGAACAGAAGTGATATATGACATTTATTTTTTATTTTTATTCTTGTTCAAGTATTATTACTATTAAAAAAAAATTTAAAATAAAAAAAAGATTTTCATCAAATTTAGAATTGTTTATCTTTGAAATCCACTGTACTTTTAAAGTGAATGATATATACATGTGGAACTGCAATATTCAGAAGTACAATGTGGCCTAGAGAAAAAAAATCTGCTACATGCTAAACAATCCTGCAAATTTCTTAAAGGGGCAATCAGACCATTACAGCTCATTTAAGTGGTCTGGGTGGTGTCCATATTGCAATTCCAGAGAAACTCCAATGTTTACATTGTAGCACTAAGTCTGCTTCCAATGGTTGTCTCTCAGAAAGTCACTGGAGATGCTTCCTGCATCCAAATGGACCTTTGGTCCGGTATCTGATGCTGGATGCCCTCACGCTCTATATGAGGACATCGAGCATCAGATTGTTCCCCATAGAAAAGCACTGATTCAATGCTTTCTCATGGGGAGGTCTAATGCCGTGCAGCATTTGCTGCGTGTGCACATAAGCGCACGCTCGTCTCAGGATAGAAAAGGAGGAAGAGCCGCGAGCCAATGCCGAGGGACATCGGCGTTGGTGTAAGATAAGTAAAAAAAAAGGGGTTATAACCTTTATTCACCGGGGAGGAGGCACAAGAGGGAAGGGGAGACAATAGGGCTATAGTGCCAGGAATACAGCTTTGTATTCCTGGCACTTATAGTATCCCTTTAAAGTTACAGTCTGTCACATACAGGAACAAACCAGAACTGAGCTAGCTTGCTATGAGTAATAAAATAAGTGCTTCCCAGCTGCTGGGTAAAAAGGCTACAAATTGTCAATCTTATTGTGGTCAACACTGGCCTCATAAATATTATTGCACCTTTGCCATAGATGTTCTAAATAATTAAATGTCTGCAACAGCACAAATGAACATGAATATGTAATAAATTATACTAAAATCCTCCAACATCAAGTTGGCGTCTTTTTAACTGGGGTTGAGCCCCGCTGACATTTAAATTGCCTCTTAGTAATGTGCAAAATTATTAAAAATAAAATCAAATTTGTTGAATTAACTCTACTAGAAGAAGTAAATAAAAAGTGCTTTAAATTAGTTGCAAGTGCTTGTCCACTTGTGATCTTTAGTAAGAGGGACATATGTAAATCAAGAACAGTAGTTGCTCATCCCAATTCTATGGTCATTTCTGAAAATGCTGTCAAACCTGGAAAATTTCTGATTTTCTTGGAGTTAATGATTTGGCAGTGGAGATGTCACTGCTTAAGGTATAAGCAAACTGGAAGAACATGTAGTTCTGCTTATATAATCATTCCTGCTGAACCCCCAAAATGAGAACTATGGGCAGTTTTAGTTGAGGAACTCTTACACCCTTCGTGGCAATCCATTCATTGGTACCAAGAAGTGTTTCCTCCCTTATCCAGGGAAAGGTAACTACAAGCAAGAAAAACAGAAATATTTTCTAGGTATGCAACCAGCACCTATAAAAGCATAGAACTCAAGAGATGAGCAAAGTGTTAATGCTAAGAATTTGTACAAAAATACCCTGTCTTGCACTGTAAACCCTGCATTATGTTTTAGTTTTGTCACTTTAAAAAAATAAATACCATTGTTATCATTAAAAAAGATTAAGATTAAAAATGTATGTAAATATATATTTATAAACTAATTTCGAACCACAACATGTTTGCTCATCTATAGAGGCAATAAATAATCATTTTTCTGTTTCTAATCTACATACAGTACTTGATTTTTCATCATTCTTATTAAGTCAGTTGTAGTATAAAAACTAAACGCATTTGGTTGCCTTGTAGAGGCGTGTGCAGCACATTGTATAAGGGTGTGCACCCAAGCAGAATACCATCTAAACGTCACTTAACAAAGTGCACTAAAAAAGTACACATTGTTTCTCTACAGTTAACACAAAAAATATATAAATAGAAGAAAGCGAGGACAATGTGGCCCTCCTCAGTGAATGACATCTATTGGCTACAATTGGCTTTGTTTTGCTTTTTTGGAGCTATTGTACCACTTTAAAATAGCAGTTCCTGCTGTGCTTGCAACAATACACAAAGCTCCTCCCACTGTCAACAGCGTTGGAGTATGGTTAAGAAATAAAGCTTGGAATATGAACGCAAAAACTACATCCATCGTTCTCATGATAGACACAGGCCCGGCCTTCTCAATTTGTAGAGCTTTTACAAGAAAGGCTTGCCCTCCCAAGCCTAAAAGGCCTATACAAATTAGGAGAAATCGGTCTAATCCACAAGAAGGTAATCTCCATTCTCCAAGTGCGAAGAGGGCAATTACACACTCAATGAGACCAATAATGGCATAATACCATATTGAGAGCAGGTAATGTACAGACTTTCCCATTTTTCTCAGGACAACCAGGGTTAATGAAGCTCCCACAGCACTGCAAATAGCTGCTATTGTGCCCTTCAAATGGTCTGAGTAATCCTCCTCAAGGCCTTCAATGCGTGCTCCAAATAAAAACGGAGGCCTTGCTATGAGTACAACTCCTGTAATTGTAAATAAAATGAAAATAATATCCCACACAGTGCATTTCTCCTTGAGTAAGAGGCAGGCAAAAATGCAAGTGAAGGCTGGGCTACTGAAGGTAATCACAGTGGCATCGGCAAGAGGCATTGACTGAACAGCATAATAGAGCAAGATCATTGCACTGGAGCCAAGAAATCCTCGCAGAAAAAGAAAAATCCGCTGATCTTTAGGTCCCAGAAAACCAACCCTGTAGATGAAAAGAGAAAAAATAAGTAAACAGCATCTGGGTTTCAGGGATAGGCTCCATTCTCTGAACATAGAAACATAGAATGTGACGGCAGATAAGAACCATTCGGCCCATCTAGTCTGCCCAAGTTTCTAAATACTTTCATTAGTCCCTGGCCTTATCTTATAGCTAGGATAGCCTTATGCCTATCCCACATGGGCTTAACTCCCTCATTGTGTTAACCTCTACCACTTCAGCTGGAAGACTGTTCCATGAGTATACTACCCTATCAGTAAAGTAATACTTCCTGATATGTTTAACCCTTTGCCCCTCTAATTTAAGACTATGTCCTCTTGTTGTGGTATTTTTTCTTCTTTTAAATATAGTCTCCCCATTTACTGTGTTGATTCCCTTTATGCATTTAAATGTTTCTCATCTTTCCTCCAAACTATACATGTTAAGATACTTTAATCTTTCCTGGTACCAATCCATTAACCAATTTTGTAACCATTCTCTGAACTCTCTCTAAAGTATTAATATCCTTCTGGAGATATGGTTTCCAGTGCTGTGTACAATACTCCAAGTGAGGTCTCACCAGTGTTCTGTACAATGGCATGAGCACTTCCCTCTTTCTACTGCTAATACCTCTCCCTATACAACCAAGCATTCTGCTAGCATTTCCTGCTGCTCTATTACATTGTCTGTCTACCTTTAAGTCATTTGAAATAATTACCCCTGAATCCCTTTCCACCAGTGTTGAGGTGAGGACTGTATCAAATATTCTATTTGCTGCCCTTGGGTTTTTACGCCCAAGATGCATTAATTTGCTCTTATCCACATAAAATTTCAATTGCCACAGCTCTGACCATTTTTCTAGTTTACCTAAATCATTTGCCATTTGGCTTATCCTTCCTGGAACATCAACCCTGTTGCAAATCTTTGTACCATCAGCAAAATGACATACCTAAACATCAAGACCTTCTGCAATATCACTAATAAAAATATTAAAGAGAATGGGTCCCTGAGGTACCCCACTGGTGACAAGACTATGCTTCGAATATACTCCATGGACTACAACCCTCTGTTGCCTGTCACTCAGCCACTGCCTCACCCATTCAACAATATTGGAGTCGGAGCTCAAAGATTGCAGTTTATTGATAAGCCTTCTATGTGCAACAGTGTCAAAAGCCTTACTGAAATCTAGGTAAGCAATGTCTACTGTACCACCCTGATCTTTTATTTTAGTTACACAATCAATAAAATCAATACGATTTGTTTGGCATGATCTCCCTGAAGTAAACCCATGTTGTCTCTGATCTTGATGCTCAACAACCCTATCCTTTAACATGGTTTCTATTAGTTTCCCACTACTGAAGTATCAATACCTAATTCTTTGGTTAAGTGGAGCTCTACCCAATCTCACCCATTCAATTTTAGTGAATTGCTCAATCTATACAGCCTATTCTGCAACAACATGCACCCAAGGCCAGTGCAACCATAAGAGGGTTCCGGTCACTTCATGTAATGTGGCTTAGTGGACCACAGTAGAGGATCTTCTGTATCCTTTACCCGGTCTGACAGGAAGTTTTTCAGTGCCCTCAGCAAGCAGCTTCCTTTCAGACCAAGTAGAGAATACAGAAAGATCTTCTACTGCTGACCACTCAGCCACATTACATGAAGGTAAGCACACACTGCAAATGGGAAAGGGGTAAGAGACTACAAAGGGGAGAGGGGTAGTAAAAAAAACACACAAAAAGGGCTAGGAAAGGAGAGACACATAAAAGGGTCTGAGAGGAAAAGAGAGACACACAGAGGGGTTGAGGAAGGAAACATGAGGCACACAGAAGGGCTGGGGAAGGAGGATAATAGAAACTTTGTCCTGTTTTCAACTTACTTGTAATAAACCAAACCGGGGAGAACAAAAAGCATCTGGAAAACACAGCGAATTGCACTGATTTCAACTGAGTGCAAGCCTTCTATTTTCTTCACTAGTAGAGCGCTAGATGAGAAGAAAAAGGTAGACAGGATAGTGTAGAAAATGCCGAGACCTGGACACTTACACTTCTTCTTTCCTAAGAACAAGCAAGACGAGAGCTATGAAAACTATTATAATGTAATAAGGCAACAACACATTCCACAGCATTGCCAAATCAGCAGGTAAATGTGTAAAGTGAAAATATATGTTACACCATGTTACATACTCTAAAATAAGGACATAAATAGTAGGTAAATAGAAGTATTTTAATGCAGGATTGCCTGTTATGGGCCCATAATTATTCAGCCTATCTCCCAGGTATTAACTTGGTGCCTGATTTTTGGTAGAAGTGAAAGCTAAAAAAGCATAAAGCATAAAACAGTGTGAAGCACTACACCCTCCTTCTCATACAAACTAATAAATTATGCTTTATAGCTTTTCAATAAGAATGTGTCCCTACACAAGGAAACTGACAATATTGACTGATGAAGCAACAGAACATATGAATACCTGATATATAGAATCATAATAACAATACAAAAACAAAAACAAGCTTTATTATTAATTGTTTATCATGACATACTCCCAAAGTGTCTTTCTTTAAAGGACAACTAAGGCAGGGCTTGACAAAAAACGTGTTTGGAATCCAGGAGCCAGCTAAAAAAGTTAAGAGACAGGTTTTTTTTAAACTAACAAAGTTTTATTTTCAACAGGAAAAATGCAATTCTTAAAGGGTCACCAGAACCACTACAGCGTAATGTAGTTTTTCAGAGAAAAGGCAGTGTTAACATTGCTGCCTAGTAACACCTCTAGTGGTAATTACTCAAATGGCCACTAGAAAATCCTAGGTCAGTGCTGCACAGTGACTGCATGGAGACACTGAACTTTGATTCAATGCATCTCTATGAGGAGACACACAGCAGTTTTTCCCTGCGCATGTGCAATATCCTCCAAATTCTTTCCTATGGGAAACTTAGATCACAAAGATCTGAAACAGCGAGAGAATTGGAGATAAAACAAAAATAAAAAATATGTAGTAACAAAAAACTACCAATAGGTGTCACCATAGGTTAGGAAAAAATTTATTTTTTATTGAAATTAAGTCTTTCTATGTCTATTAATAAAACTTAACTTTTAATATGTTAATACATAAAATAAAACAAGTGTGACAAGCAATATTAAAATAGGGTCAGTAGTCACAAATGTGTCTGTAAGATACCAGTACAGATCCTATTTACAAAGTAGAGTATATTTAACCAATATCAATCAAATTACTGTACAAGATAATCAGTCATGAGGTGTCACCCTTAGTTATACAAAGCAGTTCTAATTAATACTGAGTTTAACTAAGGATGCAATCCTCATATTGTTTTGTTTAGCAGTTACAAAAGGCAGATAGACCTATCTCTGTGCTGTTAATATAGATACATTTCTCGCTGTGTATTAAATGGTTACAAAGTAGCAGTCTTTGATTTATAAAGTATCTGTCAGGATGGTTCTAAATAGACCTGAATCTCTTGCATAGAATAGTGCAGACAGATCAGAAAAATGTATCAGTGAAAGAAAAAACGGGTTTTATTCTATAGAACAGACCTGCTGTATTTCTGAGCTTCCATTGGATAGTTCACATTGAAATAAGCAACACAAGGTACTTAGATCAGTAAGCTAATGCTTATCTTTTAGCTGGTCTGTAGTTCTTAGGGGAAAGATTCTTATCTCATGTGCCTTCGAAGGGCACCCCTTAATAAAAAACCCTGTCTATTCTGTCTATTGCCCACCACTCAAAATTAATAAGTGAAAGTAAATAGTCGATCTTAGGACTGCTAGAGCCCTAAAAATGTGCAGGACGTCTATACATCAGGTCAGTATTCTGTCAGTGCAGATCTGGCAATTACCGATTAGATGTCCTGAGCCCCTGATGCGCGCGTTTCGCCAGGATCGCTCATCAGAGGGGAACTGAAGACAGGTAAGTGTCTGCTTTTTAAAACAAGCAACTCATCGATGGTTGGCTGAGCACTTTGTCCAGCCTGCCAATCGTGAGAGAGGAGGGCGTACTCTTATTTGCAAACTATTTAACCCTTTCGTTGCTTGTCTAATATATGAAAAAAAAACTCTTTTGGAGTGAATGTTAATAATTCATATCTAATACGTATGTTATGTAGTGATGGCATCTATGTCAGTGTATCTAAACTACAGTAAGAAAAAAGTTTAACCCATTCAAAGCCAGTTTCTATTTAAACAACATTAGCTAGGATTTGGCAGTAACCAAATTTTTTTAGTTCTCCTAAAGGATGATTTGTATCTCTATATTGATTCATTACAAAAAATATATAGTGTGTGCCACAATTGTACTGAAAGGGAGCTTTAATCTTCCTATATCGTCTACTGTGAATATTTCTGTCTGAATAGATAAAGCTGTAGCTATTTAGTGAATTTTATTCAAACGTATTCTCTGGACCTTCAGACCAACGTATATAGTGTTATAAAAATGTGGAACTTTTATATTGTTATATGTACAACCGAGGAATATGCCAGATGTGAGAATTGTTCTATTTAAATTCAATTAAGTGGACATTCCTTGTTACCAGTAAGATATCCAGTGTATTCCTATTAATATGGTTATTTCCTAACAATGTGTTTCTGAGAATTAAATTTTTTAATGAAAATAAGGTAATTCGTTTTTTTTTTCCCCTCCTTCCAACCGTTAGTAAAGGAAATTAATTATGAATAAAGGGTGTACAATTTAACTCCTCATTAAGGCCCTGGGGAGACAGAGTCTTAAATTGATGAATCCATCTGGATTCTTTTTTGAGTAAAGTTAAATAAAAATTCCCTTTTCTGGTATTTACATGAACTCGTTCTAGTATTTGAGAAGTAAGGTTCGACGGATCAGCATTATGGAAATTTCTGACGTGATTGGCGACCGGTGTGGAGATGTTATGATTTTTCATGGAATTTATATGTTGAAGGATTCTTCTCCTGAATTCTTGGTACGTCTTTCCTATGTACTGGAGCTTGCAACTGCATGTTATTACATAAACGACTTTTGTTGTGCTGCAGTTTGCAAAATCTTTTATAGTATAAATTTTTTTGTATTACTGCATTCCACAACTTTAGATGGTGTAATAAATTTGCAGGCTTTACAACGTCCACATCTGTATAGACCCTTTGTTGGTTTGAGCCATGTTTTTGGTGATTGTGTAGATTCCAAGTGACTATGCACTAGTTGGTCACGTATGTTTTGTGGTCGTCGAGGAGTAATGCTAGGAAACTGTTGGATGCTACTTGCTACATCTTTATCGTGAGTTAAAATGGGCCAGTTGTCCGAAAAGATTTTACGAACCGGGTTCCAGAACTGATTGTAAGTTCCTATGCATCTAATATTTTTTATTATTTTTTTTGGGTTGAGTTCTTTGGTTCCTGAGGCATGTTGCCCTATCCATTTTTAAGACCCTTTGAAAAGCCTGTTTCAAAATCCTGTTGGGATAACCTTGTTGTTTGAAACACTTCCTCAAGGTCTTTGCTTCCTCAAGAAAGATTTCCTCATTTGAACAGTTGGCTCTCAGGTTTTGTCCAATGGAATTCCCTGCCTTCAACTTATATGGGTGGTGGCTCTGTCAGTTCAAGAGGTTATTACAAGACGTGGGCTTTCTGTATAGTTCCGTCTCGATTTCGCCTCCTGGTGTCAATCTAATGGTAAGGTCAAGGAATTCCAAATGATCCTCCCTGATTATATGGGTGAGTTTTAAGCCAATGTCGTTTATATTGAGTTGGGATACCAGTTCTTCAAATATAGAGATTGGGCCTGTCCAGAATACCAGGATATCATCTATGTACCGATGCCAACTACAGATGCATTGGTTATACCCTGTAGTTGTTGTTTCAATCAGTATAGTGGTTTCCCACAATCCTAGGTATAAATTTGCGTAGCTAGGGGCACATGTCGTTCCCATGGCTGTGCCCCTAGTTTGAAGGTAGTACTCACCATTAAACACAAAAAAGTTGTGAGTAAGTATAAACTCCAACTAATCACTAAGGAACATTTTCTGTGATGTTTTAAATTTTTTGATTTTTCCAGTAAATATGTCGTAGCTTTTAAACCGACATCATGTGGTATATTGTTATACAGCAAGACCACGTCAAGGCTGGCAATAAGTGTATATGGAGGTACTATCAGGTTCTCTAACAGTAGTAAGATTTGTTTGGTATCCTTTAGATACGAAGGTAATTCAATAACCAGGGGATGTAATATTTTTTCCATAAATTTGCTCGCTTATTCAGTCAATGAGTTGTTTCCTGAAACTATCGGTCTGCCCGGTGGATTTGTCGCATCCTTATGAATTTTGGGGAGGCAATAAAAAGTAGCTATTGTTAGTCTATTATTGGATAGCAAACATTTAGCTTCCTCTTGAGTAATGAATTCTTAATCTTTGGCCTTATTTATCATTTGTTTTAACTCATGCAAGTATTGTACGGTGGGATCCCCATGAAGTTTTTTGTAATTAAAGATATCACTGAGATGGATCATGCACATATCAATATAACTTTCTTTGTCCATTAGTACAATATTGCCCCCTTTATCAGATGGTTTAATTATTAAATTCTTTGCCAATCTTAGTTCTTGTAGGGCTTGATTTTCAATTAAAGATAAGTTAGTAATCCTTGGTGTTTGTGCAATGTTTAGTTGTTCAATTTTATCTGTAGTTAATTGTACAAATAAATCGATGTTGATAATCTCTATAAAATTATTGGGGTATACCAACTTTGAGGTTTCAAGTCTGTTAGAGGAGGATCTTTGATCTTCCAATAAAGATAGTAGTGTGCTGACATGTTGTATGTCTTCTGGATCGAGTCCTATCTCTTTAGCCATTTGGTCGTCTTTCTTTTTATGTAGGGCGCTAAGTGCCAATTTGCGTCCAAAAAGATTAGTATCCTTTAGCCAGTTACATTTTTCAGAATGCCTTTATTTTTAGAGTTTGAACTGTCTGTATTCTTGGTTAGGGATCTGCCTCTGGGTCTATTGCCTGAAAAATCTGAACTGGACCAATCGGTATTATCTGCTCTAGAGGAGTTTCTACTGTTGTAGCGTTTTTTAGAACATCCCTTGATTTTAAAAATATTTCCTTCACTGAAATCTTGATGGTCTCGTTGAAAATTATAGTGTTTTTTCTCCCTGATATTTTTTGTGAAACCTTCAAGATTTTCTTGTAATTTCGATTCCATCTGTTTGAAATCAGTATTTTGCTGGAAATTTTTAACTAACGTTATTTGTTCTTTTAATTTTTGGTTCGTGATTTCAAACTGATCTTGTTCTAATATTATTAGATACTTCATTAGTTTAAAAGAACAACCTAGGAGGATGTTGTTCCCTCCAGTTATTTTGTCCTCAGTATTCACTTTGTCTGGTGTAGAAATGTTAAATCTTAGGCCCTGTGGTACTAATTTTTTCTCCACGTATTGTTTAAGGCTAGTTAATTCCCAAAACACTTTAATTTGTTCTTTATATAGATCCTGAGTTGAAAGAAATGCCTCATTAATATCTGTAAGGTTAGATTTGGGCAAAGGGTTTAGGGAAAAGACATTGTTAATTTCATTTGAACCAAAATCAAAGTTTGATGTTAAGGATAAGTAAGATGCCATACTCATACGTATTTTCGAGTGTAAATTACACAGCTCATAGGGGACAGGTATTAAAACCTAGGTGTTGCCACCTTTAAACGTAAAACAAAAGCTTTAATCGAGCCTTAATTAGAGGGTGAACAATCTAGTGATAGTAGGAGAAAATAGGGGGTAACCCCTAATATATATCTGAAACAGCAAAAGAATTGAAGATAAAACAAAAATAAAAAATATGTAGTAACAAAAAACTACCAGTAGGTGTCACCATAGGTTAGGAAAAAATTTATTTTTATCGAAATTAAGTCTTTCTATGTCTATTAAAGGACCACTCTAGGCACCCAGACCACTTCAGCTTAATGAAGTGGTCTGGGTGCCAGGTCCAGCTAGGGTTAACCCATTTTCTCCAGAGAAACTGCTATGTTTATGAATGGGTTAAGCCTTCCCCCATTCCCTATAGCGTCTGTCTCACTGACAGCCGCTAGAGGCGCTTGCGTGCTTTTCACTGTGATTTTCACAGTGAGAGCATGCCAGCGTCCATAGGAAAGCATTGATAATGCTTTCCTATGCGACCGGCTGAATGCGCGTGCAGCTCTTGCCGCGCGTGCGCATTTAGCAGACGGGGAGGAGAGAAGGAGGATCTCCTCCCAGCGCTGGAAAAAGGTAAGTTTTTACCCCTTTCCCCCTTCCAGAGCCGGGCGGGATGGGGACCCTGAGGGTTCGGGCACCCTCAGGGCACTATAGTGCCAGGAAAACGAGTATGGTCCTTTAATAAAACTTTTTGTTTTTTTCCATATATTAGACAAGCAACCTAAGGGTTAAATAGTTTGCAAATAAGAGGACACCCTCCTCTCTCACGATTGGCAGGCTGGACAAAGTGCTCAGCCAACCATCGATGAGTTGCTCGTTTAAAAAGCAGACACTTACCTGTCTTCAGTTCCCCTTTGATGAGCGATCCTGGCGAAACGCGCGCGTCAGGGGCTCAGGACACCTAATCGGTAATTGCCAAGATCTGCACTGACAGAATACTGACCTGATGTATAGACGTCCTGAACATTTTTTAGGGATCAAGCAGTCCCAAGATCGACTATTTACTTTCACTTATTACTAATTTTGAGTGGTGGGCAATAGACAGAATAGACAGGTTTTTTTATTAAGGGGTGCCCTTCGAAGGCACATGAGATAAGAATCTTTTCCATAAGAACTACAGACCAGCTAAAAGATAAGCATTAGCTTACTGATCTAAGTACCTTGTGTTGCTTATTTCAATGTGAACTATACAATAGAAGCTCAGAAATACAGCAGGTCTGTTCTATAGAATAAAACCCATTTTTTCTTTCACTGAAACATTTTTTCTGATCTGTCTGCACTATTCTATGCAAGAGATTCAGGTCTATTTAGAACCATCCTGACAGATACTTTATAAATCAAAGACTGCTACTTTGTAACCATTTAATACACAGCGAGAAATGTATCCATATTAACAGCACAGAGATAGGTCTATCTGCCTTTTGTAACTGCTAAACAAAACAATATGAGGATTGCATCCTTAGTTAAACTCAGTATTAATTAGAACTGCTTTGTATAACTAAGGGTGACACCTCATGACTGATTATCTTGTACAGTAATTTGATTGATATTGGTTAAATATACTCTACTTTGTAAATAGGATCTGTACTGGTATCTTACAGACAGATTTGTGACTACTGACCCTATTTTAATATTGCTTGTCACATTTGTTTTATTTTATGTATTAACATATTAAAAGTTAAGTTTTATTAATAGACATAGAAAGACTTAATTTCGATACAAATTATTTTTTTTCCTAACCTATGGTGACACCTACTGGTAGTTTTTTGTTACTACATATTTTTTATTTTTGTTTTATCTCCAATTCTTTTGCTGTTTCAGATATATATATTAGGGGTTACCCCCCATTTTCTCCTACTACCACTAGATTGTTCACCCTCTAATTAAGGCTCGATTAAAGCTTTTGTTTTGAGATCACAAAGATTGATCGTCTCAGCCATGGAGGCGGGACCAGCCATGGCGGAACAGCACAGTGTGGTAAAGGGGTGACTAAAACGCCTTTGTCATGCGATCGGAGAAGGGCAGGTACCTAAACAGACACACACACTCTCACTAACAGACAGACACACTCTCTGACAGACACACACACTTACTGACAGACAGACACACTCTCTGACTGACAGACACACACACACACTCACTGACAGACAGACACACTTTCTGACAGACACACACACTGGCATACACACATACACACTGCTCACTTGTGCGGCCACCTTGACTTAAGGGCTGACAGATCACAGGCTCCAGGGTAAAATTTCTAGTAGCCAATGGTGACCTGGCGCCTGGGATTTGTCGAGCCCTAAACTAAGGTCACCTAGACCTCAATGATGCTTTCTTGGTGCATGGGCCCTTCAGATACGGCAATGTTTTATGCTGCAGGGTTAAACACATCTCTATTATAATATAATAACAAAGCATCAAAACATTCTACAACATAGACAAATCAGCCGGTAAATGTGCAAAGTTACATACTCTAGAAGAAGGAGAAAAAGGATATAAGGAAATAAGAAGAAAAATGGTAGGGAAATGTAAGCCTTTTTTTATACAGGATTGCTTCTGACAGAGCCCACAGCTATACAGAAGGCCCAGACAGCTATTTAATCAAATGCTGCCCATAGAAAGCATTTGATTGACGCAACATGGCATATATTCTCCAATGAGGAAGCATTGGATTGGCTGAGATTAATTTTGAAGTAAAGGTAAATAAAACTCACCTTTTAAACACCTAAATAGGTAATGAAACATTATAGCAAAAGGGATACATGTTTGAATTCTAAACTCTATAGCGTCCCTTTAAAGTCTATATCCCTTCATCCTAATCTGAAGGCCCAGCTCTTTTTAAGAGCTTAGACTGTTTGCTGTGTGTATTTAGTGTTTCCCAACAATAAAACCTGCAGTAAACGGTTTTTAAATAGCAAAACAATTTGGGGTAAATTTGACTCCTGAGTTCCTTAGAAACCTGAATTCTATACCAAATTGAGTATAACCTCTGCCATGAAAACCAATAAAATATTTTTTTAATACACTTTCAAAACTGTGTCTTTATATCGTAAACAGCTGTTTAATTGCCCCAACCCCCCTCCCAAAAACCCTTACAGCTACTTCAGCCAAAGTAAATGATATCTACTATTGATGAGGAGACCTACGGTGGGGCTCTTCTTCTGAGTCCAAGATACTGGCATGAACCTGCTGTGACCTTTCAAATTCACTTACTGCATCCAAAGTGTCTTTGGCCATTAAAAATGAAATGTCATATAATTACAGGCACATGGTACCTGATGGCTCATTTACAATATGAGCTAAATCCATAACCGCGCAATGAGTGCAGAATAAGGTTAAGTGGTTATTACAGATGCATTGATAAGGGAACCTGGATCTAAGCCACATGAACCCAAAGAATAATGATTCATCAGGTTAAAAGCCTGCCTCAGGCTTGTCTTATACAACTTCCTCCACACACCCCCAGCCTACATTCTTATGTAACTGTGCAAATAATGCTTATTTCCTTATTCTAGAAGATTTCTCCTTCAAACTATGTTACAATCTTTTCCAGGTAGTTATAAATAAATCCATATGTTTATAAACTCACAAATGAAGTTTATTTACTATACTTGGATATGTCTCACATTAAAAGGAAGCGAACATTTTTAAGCTAATATAGCTGCTCTGAAAAACAGGATAAGCTGGGGAAAGTTTCCAATTTTACTATTTTGACTTTAATGTGCAATTTCCTTGTTGGTTTTCTGCTTAGTTTAATAAATAAGTTCATATGTGTCAGCTTAAAGGGACACTATAGTCACCAGAACCACTGCAGCTTAATGTAGTGTTTATGGTGTCTATATCGTGTCCCTGCAGCTTTTTAATGTAAATGCTGCCTTTTCAGAGAAAAGGCAGTGTTTACATTGGTTCCTAGTAACACCCCTAGTAACACCTATAGTGGCAGGCACTCAGATGGCCACTACAGGTGCTTCCTGAGTCAGTGCTGGCATCCAGCATCTTTGCGCTCTGCGTGGAGACGCTGAACCAGACAATCCAACAGCTTTCATACTTCATGTGCCAGGATGGAAACTGCAACATGACTTGTTTTCACATTTTGTGTGACCAATGAGGTCCCAGGGTGGGCACTACCATAAAGAGGTACAGGCCTTAAGTCGAACTGGCCCAGGGAGCACAGGATCCATTTGACCTTCAGGAGAGGAGCACACAGAATGTAGCATGGCCAAATCTCAGATCAGAGTAGAGGAACTCTTGTTCCCTCTCTATGGTATGTATGACAGCAAGTGCTGACTGAGAGCACAGAACTGCTTCATGTCAGACCTAGGAGAAGTTACAGGAGGTCCGCGGCCATGGCATCTATAATATTAATAGGACCCTGGGCAAAGCATTTTCTTGGGCCCCCTGGATCCTGCACCCTCCTTCCCCCACAATCACGCCTTTGACCCCAACGCAGTGGAATGATTCGAGACATACCTAGACAGACATATACACTGACAGACATACTGACACATACACACACAGTCAGACATTCTAACACATAAATATTCACTGACAGACATACTGACACATACACACACAGTCAGACATTTTAACACACATATATTCACTGACAGACATACTGATACATTCACAGATACATGCTGACACAAACAGACATACACTAACACACAAATATATACTGACAGACATTTTGCCACACATTCAGACATATTGACACACAGAGACACTTACAGACATACTGACACACAGAGACACATGTACTGACAGATACTGACACACACACACAGACACTGAGACAGACATGCTGACATACACAGACACATACACTGACAGACATACTGACACACAAAGACACTGACAGACAGACATACATACACACACAAAATGTACACTTTTGTACATGTTTCCTACCTTGCCTGGCTCAGCCCCGCTCCTCTCTGCCTCCCTGCTGTCTCCCACGAGGCTCTCTGTGGGAGCAAGTGACAGCCGCAAGTCACTTCCTCCCATAGAGAACAGAGAGACGCGCACCGCCCTGCTGGCTACAGGAAAACAAAGGGCCCGGTCGCGCTGTTAAAGGGCCAAAGCGCATGACCAGGCCTCTGCTTACAAATGCCCACCGGGTGGCCCTTAGTAAATGGGCAACCCAGTGGGCCTCCTTAGAGTGCCGGGGGCCCAATTGGGGGGGAAAAATTAAGGGCAGCGTGGCCCCCCAGGAGTATCTGGGCCCGTGGGACAGCTGCCCTGTGTTAAAGATGGCCCTGTCCGCAGCACTGCCACACTACAAGAGGGAGGTGAGCCAGCACAGGTGGGGAAAGAAAGAAACCTCTAGGTGGAGGGCAGGCAAAATAGGGGCTGGGGGAGACAAACAGGCACAGTGGGGCTGCGGGGACAAAAACAGACACAAAGGGGCTGGGGGAGACAAACAGACACAGAGGGGAAAGGGAGACAGACAGACACAGAGGGCTGGGGAAGACAAAGTGGTACAGAGGGGCTGGGGGACACAAACAGAGACAGAGGGGTTGGGGGGGGAGACAAAAAGGCACAGAGGGGCTAGGTGGACACAAAGAGGTACAGAGGGTCTGGGTGGACACAAACAGGAACACAGGGGCTAAGGGTGACACAAACATACACATAGGGGCTGGGTGACACAAACAGATACAGAGGGGCTGTGGAGACACAAACCAACACAGAGAGGCTGTGGGGGGAGACAAACAAGCACAGGGACACAAACAGATACAGAGGGGTAAAAGGGGCTTGGGGGCCAAAGCAATACAGATAGGTTGGGGAAAAGGCAAAAGAGACAGTGAGAGACTAGGGAAGAGGCAAAATAGACAGACGGTTGCTAAGGGGAGACTTTAGAGGAACTTGAAAGACACAAAGAGACACAGAGGGACTCGGGGGAGAAAAAGACAAGGTGCTGGGGGAAGAGACACGCGGAGGGGCTGAGAATGGAAGAAGGATACACTAAAAGGGATAGGGGAGAAAGAGACTCACAAAAGGTCTTGGGAGAAAGAAATACACAGAGGGGCTTAGGGGACAAAGAAACATATAGAGGGGCTGGGGGGCAAAGACACAGAGGGCCTAGGAAGGGGAAAAAAGAAAGACAGGGGCGGAGGGGAGACACCTTAAGGGGCTGGCAGGAGTGGAGGACAAAGAGGGCTGGGGTGAGAAAGCGACAAAGTGTTGGGGAAGTGGCACAAGAGACAAACAGGGGCTGGGAGACACAAAGTGTCCCCAAAGGGGTTGGGGAAGGGGCACAAGCGACAGACAGGGACTAGGGAAAGGGCAAAGGAGACAGACAGGTGCTAAGAGGAGATACCCAGAGGGGCTGGGGGCACACAAAGAGACACAGAAAGACTGGGAGGAAACAAAAACAAGGTGCTGGAGGGTACACAAGAGATACACAAAGTGGTTGGAAAGGGGAGAAAGTGTTACACAAAAAGGGGTTGGGGAGAAAGAGATACACACAGTGTCTGGGGAGAAAGAGATACACCAAGGGGATAAGGGGGACAAAGAGACACAGAGGGTCTGGAGAAGGGGGGGAAAGAGACAGACATGGGCTGGGGGGAGGAGACAAAGAGACACAGGGGAATATATTTTGAATACATTGATTTCAAACATGATTCCAGAGTACGAAAAACTGATTGCTGACACGAAGTGTAATATATCCCATAAACGGTAAGAAAACCTGAAAAATGTATTTAAAGTAATTTGTATCTGCAAAATAGTTTAATCATTAATTATACCTTTACTTAGAACGTGAGCCTCTAAAAATCCTCTGTGGCCCGAAGAAGTTTATTTTTTATTTTGGTCCCTAATTGATAAATTATACATGTCTCCTCTGTGCTAACTAATAGGTGCAAAAGACAGTGAATATTACAATAACTGAACGGAAGCCAAGATGGTGACACCAAGTTAATGAATATTAATGTGTGGATTGCTATATTAAATTTCTTCTATATTGCCTTTTGCAAGTTATTACCCTCCTGGCTGGGTTCATTCTTCTCTTATCTTTGCTTACAGTCCTGAATTCCAGTCTCCCATTTCACTCTTTCACTTGCTTGCATTTGACTTTCAGCAGCTTTCAACTTTTACTCCAATGATTGCATCAGCACAAGTAGGGTGTTATCAAAAGGGCGTCTGAAAGTCATGGTAAATAAGGTACGATTAATAAGTGCAATCTTGGTGCCAGGGAAGCACATTACCACTCATTAAATCAGAATTGTAAAACTGCAATCCCAGCCCCAGCCGTGCCCATAATTCTCTTTTAGTCACTGACTGGAAGTAAATTATGAGAGTTATAAAGCAACAATATCTGTGGGGCTGCAGTTCCAAACCCCCACCAATAGATGGAGCGCTCATCCAATGAATGATGCCCAAAGTAAAACAAAAAATGCTATTGTTAAACTAGAATGGGAACGCATAGTGTAGCAATATCTGAAAGGAACATGGGACCAGACAAGACATGGTCAAATGTCAATTCAAAAATAGTTTGTTTTCTTACTGAGAGGTAGCACCAGAGAACTCCAGGCACATTAACCACCAGAGTGGCCTGCAGATGTTTTAGTGCTTAGACTGTCCCTTTAATTGAGCTTTCTGTGTTTTGTTAAAAAGCATGTTTAAACATTTGCAAGTAAAAAAGTATTGGGCAAAAAAATATTGTTAATAAACACTTAAAATAAATCCTTGAAACAAATAACAATATACAAAAGATTTTTTTTGCCACCTAGTTTGCCACATAAACTTTTGTGGGGTTTTTTTCAAAGGGTTTTAGTATTTGGCAATATTGCACTATATTTTGTATATTTTCAGAGATAAGAATTTCCATTTTGTCTGCAAGTGTATGTAGTAACAATAGTTTTTTACTTGCACTTTTAAATTTGTGTTTTGTTGTAAAACACATGTAATGCTGCATGAAAATCTGTAATGTTTCAATAGCACTTATTTGGGATGAATTGCAATTTTATTATTATAAATAAAACATTGTTAGTCTTAAATATGCACAATAATATTTGAGTTCTGGCTGATGACAGATAATGTAACCTCTAGCCTTTTTGTTTAAAATTTCAACTTTGCTCTGAATTCTAAGGTTAACGCAACTTGTTTAACCATTTCTCAAGTTCGTTCTGTTAAATACAAACATAGAAAAACAGAAGTTAAGGCAATTAAGAGAAATTCTCAAAGCAAAAAACCCTGAGGATATTTCACTCAAATTCAACCAGCTGTCTGCAGGAATAGACAGTGGGGAAAGGGAGAGAAAGAGAAAAAAAGGTAGACAGAGAAGATAGACAACTGGGTCCCATGCATAGTCGCCAACATTAAAAAAAAAAAAATCCAGGGACACTGTGGCAAGTCCACACACAGATAAACACAGACAGACACTCACACAGACACATCTAATAACACACTGACATACACACATTGAAATAAAGAAAACACATACTTCTAACTACCTTACAGTGGGAACTTCCAAAGATATAGCCATTTGAATGTGTAATTTCACCACTAGCAGGGTCATTAAAGCATCATTAGGCAGACTGGAATTGTTTCCATTTTCTTTCAGGCTTCCTAATTTCAATTCTGTGCATACAGGACAACCAATGGCCGCATGAGTCTTTCTCCATGCCCTCCAAGTCCTGCCCTCAGCCTGTCCTCCCTGACATCACTCTCCCTCTGGAGGAGGATCAGACTGCCAGGAAAACTTGGTCAAAGCGCACTATAACTATATATAATATTTGCTGTATTATTATTCCATTTTTACGGGGGGGAAATCAGGACAGTAAAGGGCTGCTATGACCAAAAACTGGGGGTGTTTTTTTGGTTGCAGTAACCTTTTCATTTCAGAGCAACTCCCAAGTCCGTTAGTTTCATCTTAAGGTCATTTTGGGTTGTCATCTCCTCTCTGGTTGATTTTTGGAGCGTTTCCAATTCACTGCCAATAACAGTAATTTGGGACAGTTTTTAATTTGGGGCAATGTCAGAGAATTTCGATTTGGTTTTACAATATCAGAGGATGAGATTTTTCTTATTTTTCTGCATTATGATGGAACGAAATGGCCATAATTAATTTTTTTTAATGTATAATTTTTTTATTGTTAATATTTTATGCATTTATATATATATATAATATTGGGATACAGAAGAGAGAAGTGGGAAAAAGGGAACAGTACATAGTTTAGTCTATAATTACACACTATTAAAAACAATATTATTCACATAACAGTATGCATTAATTCATGTAAGACAATTGATTACAATAATATTTTTCAAATTCTTTTCCTTTCTCTATTTTTTTTTTTTTAATCAGTATTCATTTGTTTAAAGTTAAGAGAAACCACTGAAAACTATCACTTCCACTCGATCCAAATCAAAAGAGTAATTTACGTTCTTATAAAGGATTGTATCAGGGAGGGGTGGTGAATGATATAGAGTGCCCTCCTGTTTAAGGCAGTGCCAGCATAAATTTGATGCCCCTGCGTATATATGAGCTATCCTAGTTGGCACCAGGTACCAACGCATATACAATTTACAGTATGATTCCCAGTGTTGTAAATTACATGATGCCCTTTTGGTTAGCTTTATTGCCTGATGCCATTTGGATAAAGAAAATTAATAACCTAAATCTAAATCTAACTCCCATTTCTGTATATATATAGGTTTTGCTTCATTCCCTATATTCATAATGTTATAAGATAATGATAAAGTTTTAATAATCGGTAATTCACCCAATACATTTGTATATCAAAGGCGGAAGTGTTTTCATTTCTTCTATTTTTATATTAAATCCATGAAGTGTATTCCTAATGCGTAGGTAGGAAAACAACTCTCTCGGAGGTATAGAATAATCTTTAAGTATTTCAGGGAATTGCTTAATGCCTATAGTATTATAAAAAAAAAAAAAAAACGAACCTGTGTGACACCATGATTTAACCAGGTGTCCACTCGTAAGTCTGATGTGAAGGCAGTAATAATCTGTAGCGGGGCTGCATATAGCAAAATCTTATCATCTACAATTTTGGGGATAATTTGTTTCCAAATTTGAAGTAGTGTTTTGGTAACTGGTAGCATATCATTTTTCTTCCCTATTTTTATTTTACCTGTCCACAAGGCTTGTGGTAATGTGCCTTGATGCATGCAAGCGTTTTCTAATGCTAACCACAAAGGGGAAGGTATTCGTTCTAATACTGATATGCCTTGTGCTAATATTGATGCTTTATAATACATTTTAACATTCGGAATACCAAGGCCACCTTTCTCATATGGAAGCCACAGTAAGTTCTGCTTTACTATGGGAGCTTTCCTTTTCCAAATGTGTGCTTTTATTAAAATTTGAAATTTGTGTTCAGTATAGCAATTGGGAGAGTACAGAAGAGGTACAAAATATATGAATATATAAACCATCATTTTTATAGTGTGTATTCGGCCCAGCCAAGATATGCTTTTGGCTTCCCATTTTCTCAATTGTTGCTCTAGTTTAATTATAAGTGGTATATGATTCTCTTTTATAATTAAATTATGTGTGGAAGGAAGTTTAATTCCTAAGTATGTTATTGACTTTTTCTGCCAGTCAAAATGCGTGTACCACAGATGTGGGAAGACCAATAGACAATGCTTGCGATTTTTGGGGGTTATTTTTATAGTATGATATCTCTCCAAATCTTTGCAGTGTCTTTAATAAAATTGGAATTGATATGCGTGTACCACAGATGTGGGAAGACCAATAGACAATGCTTGAGATTTTTTTTGGTTAATTTTACATTATGATATCTCTCCAAATCTTTGCAGTGTCTTTAATAAAATTGGAATTGATAAATCTGGATTAGTTAAAAAAAGCAAAACATCATCCGCATAAAGAACTATTTTTGAGACACCCGTAGGGGTATTCAGTCCCTCTATCCCTTTATTGTTTTTAACATGTCTTATTAAGGGCTCCATACACAAAATAAAGATTAATGGTGTAAGAGGGCATCCCTGTCTGGAGCCATTAGTTATATACAACAGACGGGAAAGAAAACCAGAATTGCTTTTTTGCGCTGCTGGTCGAGAGTAAAGAACTAAAATACTTTGAAGAAATGCTAAAGGGAAACCCATGCTCAAAAATACTTCTTCCATGTATTGCCAATTCAAGCGGTCAAACGCTTTTTCAGAGTCGAGTGCCAGCAATAAACCCTGTTGGTTACTAAGATGTGCCCAAGTAATTAAATTTAAGCAGTGGCATGTGTTGTCTCCTGGTTGTCTATTACGGATGAATCCCGCTTGTTCTGGTGAAACCAGATCCACTATTAACGGTTTTAGGCGTGCTGCCAGTAATTTAGCATATAATTTTGTATCAGAATTTAATAATGAAATGGGTCTTAAATTTGCACATAGTGTTGGTGATTTGCCTGGTTTTGGTATCGTAATTATATGGGCTACTAACATCTCTTTGGGTATTGTACCTGAATTTTTAAAATAATTGAAAAGTTTGGTAAGGTGCGGGACCAGTTGGGCCTCAAAAACTATATAATAATTATTTGGAAACCCATCTGGGCCCGGTGCCTTATGGTTAGGAAGTTTTCGAATTGCTTCTCTAACCGCCTCTTCTGTGCATTCAGGGATAAACCTTGCTCTGGCGTAATGCACGGAAGATTTACTTCTTTCAGATAATTTTGTATTTCTACTCTAGAGGGTTGATATGTGTTAATATCAGACTGTAGGTTATATAGCTTAGCGTAAAAAAACGCTAACTCCTCGACTATATCCTGAGGGTTATATAATTTGACATTGTTATTATCTGACATTGACATATAGGGTAATTTTGACTGTAAATACTTAGTTTTTAATTGATTCGCTAACATTCTTCCTGCGCTATTCCCTTGCGTATAATAAGATAGTTTTAATTTCCTTAGTTGCCATTCCATTTTCGATACGAAATGGCCATAACTAAGACTATTCAAATATATCAATCTGTTAAAAAAAAAGTTTACTGCTCCTTTTAATTTCTAAGTTGAGATATTTGAATATTTATAAAAAATATTTCCAGGAACATATACCATGTGCCTACGAGTCAGTAGATGACCTAACATGTTTTGCACAACATTACATCAACAGGATGTTTCTGCAATGCAGATTTACAACTTCATTGGTTCAACATAAAAATATTACCTAAAATAGTAGTTAAAGTATTGGCTAATAACCATTGATTACTGACAGTCCCTGCAGAAACGGAACTGCAGGCATGTCTATTAGAATGTCCAGTGGCTTTGCAGAACACAATAAACTTAGTTTGTGGAACATCTCAGTCACCCTTTCAGTAGTCTCCATGTGCCTTACCTCATTGCTATTGCAACAGAACCATTCGTGCAAAGTCATTCTGATAATTGAATTATTTCCTGCTAATACCTTACTGCCTGCAGGCTTTTACTTTCCAGATTATCATGGTATTAGCTGCGTAAGGAGTCCAGACATTGATAACTCCTCACCTATTTAAAATGGTACTGCATTCAATTATTAAATATGGCACCAACATGTTCCATAGCAGCACATTTTGATCATATCAGAACTTCACAGATGTGTTTACTATACTTAGTAACGGGACAGAGCTGGAAAGGGGGGGGGGGGGTGGTAATTGCCCCCATCTCCACAACTATAGAAAAGATTGTAGGCTTCTGCCTCATAGTACAATATTAAACTTGTCTGTGAGCAGTGGTCCTGTCATTTTAACCCTGTAATGTAAAACATTTTAGTTTAGTAAAAACTGCTTTTTTTAAATTAAAGGGTTAAACACACCTCTAGTGGCTCTCTGAGCAACAAACAAGTAAAATGTTGTGGATCATAGGAAAGCATTGAATTCAATGTAGTCCTATGAGAAGCATTTGGATACGCATGCTGCGCATGACGTACATGAGTGTCAGTCCCCAATACGCTTCTATGAAGAGCATTGGATTGGCTATCAGCGAGAGAGTCAGATGAAGTCACTGGAGGCGGAGCGGCCGTCAGCAACAAGGGAGTCTTGGTACTGGAGAAAAGTAAGTTTGGACCTTTTTCAGTGGGCTAGGCAGGAACTGACCTGCAACTAGGATACTATAGAGTTATGAATCTGGGTTTATATTCTAAACACTAAAGTGTGCCTTCCATTAAACTATATTCTGCACTTGTACTACTTTATTATTATTGTCTTCTAGTTCTTGTAGTATTATTATAAAATGTTTATTATAAAATTAAAGGAACATTATAGGGTCAGGAACACAAACGTGTACTCCATGTAGAGCGTGGAGACCCTGAACGTCAGTACTGCACACTGTGCAGCACTGACCTTAGGAGTGGCCACTAGAGGTGTTCCTAGGCTGCAATGTAAAAACTGCCTTTTCTCAGAAAAGGCAGTGTTTACAGCAAAAAGCCTAAAGGGACTGACTATACTCACCAGAACAATTATAATAAATTGTTTCTTGTGACTATAGTTTGGCTTTGTCTAAATTGTGGTTTTCTACTTATTACATGATTCACAATAATTAATTACAAGCTGAACAAGCAAAAAATATTGTATGTTACTGTCCAATGTGCTCGGCAACATCAAAAGTGCTTAGTACACAAATACTTCCCTTCAAAAAGAATAACTCACTAAAGGATCAATCGTAGAAAAAAAAGCTGAATTGGAGAATTTGGGGGATTTTCCTATTTTGTCCTAGAATTTGAAATTTCTTTGTACATTTCCACAGATCACGGTTTAGTAAATAATCCCAATGTATGAAAGTTAAGATGAGTAAAATTACAGGTTTCTTGTCACAGCAGCTATTAGTGGTTCTCCCACACTGCTCTGCTATACCACAAATGTTACTTTTAGATCTATACAGCTTTCAATTACAGTCTGTGGTGTAAATGTTATTATTAGATCTATGTCGTTGATGTTTGTTTCATTGACCTCGGACGGGTGACGGGCAGAGTCAGAATAACCATGAAATATACAATAAAGTGACACTATAGGCACCCAGATTACGTCATGTCATTTAAGTGGTCTGGGTGGACTGTCCCTGTCCCCTTAATCCTGCAATGTAAAACATTGCCGTTTTAGAGAAACTGTAGTGTTTACATTGCAAAGTTAATACAGCCACTAGAGGCGTTTCCTGGCCTTTTACAGAGTTCTGAAATGCCGCTGGACATCTTGCCCTGCGTCTTCTAAAACCCCATAGGGGTTTGGCACTTTCTGTGCATGTGCATTAGGACCTTCCAATTGACTACCGTCAGTAGAGGGGGAGCCCGACCCAGCGGCGAGGGACATTGGCACTGGAATCAGGTAAGCGCATAAAGGATTTTTTTAACCCTTTACCTGTCACTGGGGGGGGGGGTAGGGAGAGAAAGACCCCTTAGTGTTAGGAATGCAGCTTTCTATTGCTAACACTAGCGGTTTCCTTTAACAAATCGGATGACTTTTAATAGTTAATATTTGAAAAAAATATATATATTTGAATTTTTTTTATTTGCACAGTTCTGTCAGGCATTTTTCACAAAAACATCTGCACAAAAGCACTCTGATAACTCAGACAGGCCTAATTACTAAACCATCTTATTTATTACACTGATAAATTACAGTGAATCCTGGGAAATTTGGTTCACAAATACCTGTTGTACCGGGTTCAACCACCACTGGATCAGGTGGTTTTACCCACTAAACACAAAAACACTAAACAATGACTTGTGGCTGAGTTATAAATAAATAATTACCTTGCTTAATTATCTAAAACAGTTTTACTCTGTTGCCGACATTCATTCATGTCACGAGCGTGGGCTATAGGCCCAGCCGAGACAGTGGGGAGAGTGTGGAAGTGACAGGGTTAATGACACCAGACCCCTAGTTACCTGTTGCTAGTCCCAGCACCACTCAATTAACCTGCAAACCCTTCTACACTAACCCCCTTTACTGCCACCACCAAGACTTTAAACCCGGGCGTCTTAGGTTACCCCACACACAGGTGAATTATAGAATCACAGTTCTACTTTTACTGATCAAACACATATAATTAACCCTTTTTGGTAACATGGTTACCTGAGCCTTCCTCTGGAGAGTGAAGCTCATAGAGAACAGAGACACAAGCTGATTAAAGGACCACTATAGTGCCAGGAAAACATACTCGTTTTCCTGGTACTATAGTGCCCTGAGGGTGCCCCCACCCTCGGGGACCCCCTCCCGCCGGGCTCTGGGGAGAGGAAGGGGTTAAAATCTTACCTTTCTCCAGCGCCAGGCGGGGAGCTCTCCTCCTCCATAGCAACGTCATCGGCTGAATGCACATGCGCGGCAGGAGTTCATAGGCCAGTTCATAGGAAAGCATTTACAGTGCTTTCTTATGGACGCTGGAGTCTTCTCACTGTGATTTTCACAGTGAGAAGCACGCAAGCGCCTCTAGCGGCTGTCAATGAGACAGCCACTAGAGGCTCCAGAGGCTCCAGAGGCTCCAGAGGCTGGATTAACCCTATTATAAACATAGCAGTTTCTCTGCTTTCTATGGGTTAACCCTGGCTGGACCAGGCACCCAGACCACTTCATCAAGCCTATAGAGGTCCTTTAAGTAAACATTTAATCTGACAAAAAAGATTCACAGTGCTGAGTACAAAATACAGAAATAAATGACATACAGATAACAAATTGCAAAACAGTACATAAAATAAAATAGGAGAAAACACAAGAAATTCCTTACATATATTTACCCCATACAGAATTCTTGTGGGAGACTTAGATGGTATAGGTCTCCTAAAAGTTGCTGACCAAAGAAAAATGAAAAACTCTCTGGATAACCCAGCACCCTCATTATATATCTAAACTAGTTTTTTCTCAGTGGGCAGACCCCTGGGGATCAGAGGGGGTTGGTCTGGCAGTTTATTGCCCACTCTATGCAATTCCTTGTGTCCAGCTCTGGTGCAAGATCAAAGACCACAATAAATGTCATCCCAAGGTTTACAAAAAAACAACTCTTAACATATCTCAACACACATAAAACACCAACTCATGCTTTTGGCATGACAATTCAGTTCAATGTTTAGGGAATGCACCCCTTTGTCTTTTGTCTCATTAATTATGTAACTGTAGGCTTTTAATTATATAACTATTATAACAATAGCTTTCTTTCAGAATGAAAGGGAGACATGTTTAACTGATTGCATAGCACTGTGGTTTTTTTGTTTCTTATAAAACGTACATAAACTATTGTTTGTTTTTTAAATGTTGTTTTTTTTTTTTTATGTAAGTGTATCAGTTTTCAGTAGAACACTGGCAGGATTTCATTCTGTTACTAGGTTACCTGTCTTCTTCTTTGCTAAGGAATCCCTTTGTAACTGGTGCAGTTAACCCTGTGTGTGGTGTGCCTCGTGTGTCATTGTAGCATGGATACTAGCGAGGGAGCCCAGGTTTTACACTCAATAAATAACATTATGTGCATTTATTAATAGACATAAACTGGCTCTGAGTTACATTTCCCTCCCCTCTCTGTGTACACGTGTCTTACCAGTCTGTTCATCGGTCACTATCAGTCGGACACAGCAGCTCCTCTCTTGGTGGTCCCCTGTTTGGGGACAGTCAGGAGTAAAGGGGTTGTCCCCTTCTTCCATGATGTCAGCCGGCTGGTGGCTCTCATTGTCACACCAGGTGCCCTTCATGTCCTCTAGTGTTGGGATCCCATTCCTTGCCCCCCTGTCTGACAGCTCGGGGTCCTCCTCTTCTTCCTCATTGTTCCCCAGATCGTCAGTGCCCATGGTGCGTGCTGGTGATTTCTGTTACCTTATTCCTGGGGAGTGAGCAGAGATACAGTGTGACTAGGCATGCTGAGCTAGGTCCTGGCAGGTCAATAAACCAGCTCTGTCTGTCTCTCCTAGCACTGCTATAACACAAATATTAACTCATACTCATCCTACAAACCAGGGAATCTTTTCATTTCCATTATAATCATTAAATAGACAGTTCAGTATTTTTCAACAGTCATTTGTCTGCTCCATTTTCACTTAACTTCAATCCCTTATTAAACATTCACTAAAGAGAGAATGCAAAGTGAATGTCAAATGGGCCAAATTAGCCAAAAATGGAAGCATATTTGGTTTAGAGAAATTCTCCAGTTTTGGCTAATATGTATGTATTAACTCTTTCTGTTCCACAGGAATCAGTTCATTTTACCTGAACTTTGGAACTAAAATGATTTACCCACAGCCAGTGTCATCTCTGGAACCGAAAGGTAATATATGCTCAATTTCAAAGTTTATGTGTGTGGATTATTTTGAATAGAATCGCTGTAACGAATCCAAAAAAGGTCAAACAGCTGCACAATATTATTTGTGGTCACAGACAAATAAATATATACATGTAAATAGAAAGAGAGTCAAAAGCTTAATGTGAGAATAGGTTATTAATAAATACACATATAACCAGTATATTGACAGTTTGATTGCCACCTAAATTATTGGATGAACTCTTTCAGTCCCAGAGATCACGTGATTCTTGTGTCCCTGGAAAAGGTTATATATAGACATGTTTTTGAAAGAGTTAATGTATTAACCCTTTCAGACATAGAGATGGCATGTAGGTAAGTTAACCCTTTGAGGCCTGGGAATTGGTTAATTGTGGTGATTACAGTGGGACTGAAAAGGATATTAAGTACCGGTTTCAACGTCAGGATCCATAAAGAGAGGAAATGTTTTATGAGGAGTTGCGGTTTTAACCCCTTAAGGATACATGACATGTGTGACATGTCATGATTCCCTTTTATTCCAAAAGTTTGGTCCTTAAGGAGTTAAAATAGGAAAAGGTTGGCGACAACTCATTATCGGTTTTCTGAAAAAAACACTTTGCAGAGGGAGAAAGGGTCAAGGTTGCTGCTTTAGCAGCGCTGGAGGGATATTGAGAGGCTGTTTATTTCCCAGTCAGGACCTAATTCAGCATGTCTCCTCACACAGTGCGTGCTCGTTCCCGATAACATAAATGTTAGGGGAATACAAACACAGCAGCAGAGCCGGCCGGTGTTTCCCAATCAGGCGGTGTGTGTAGTGTGTGACTGCCAGGGTTATTGGCTAAAGTGAGAATTCAAAGTAAATTTCACATTTTAGGTCAAAAGAGTAGTAAGCTACAGTGGTGCAGCATGGGGGTCACAAGGGCGGTTGCCCTGAGCGCAAAATTCTTAGGGGTGCAAATTTTTAAAAGGAAATGTAAAAAGTAATAATAATAAAAAAATTTAAAATAACGCGTATTTCCTCTCACACAAAATATTTTCCAATGTTCAAACTTTCTATGGAGTTTCTCAAAATGATGGGGCATTTTACAGCATTTTTCTTGCTTATTACAGCTACAATGTCCTCATGTAACCCTTATCTGTGAATTTACATATTGTCTATTAGTAGCGTGATTTCCTATTGGAAGATACCGCCAGTACTGTTCAGTTACATCTTACTGAGTACTTGTCCTAGATTCTCAAAGAGTTAAGAATGGCTGGGCATTGTGTGCACAAAAAAAGGGGGATTTAGAGAACCAGATAAAAAAATTGGGGGAAGTCAAGAGAAAAAAGGTCAGATTCAAGATCAACCAATTAACAGTGTCCTATGGGTGAGTGCTATGCCTGCATCTGCATCAGCTGTGCTAATACGTAATAAGCAGTGGCGTACATACCAGGGTCGCAGGGGTTGCGACTGCGACCGGGCCCGGCCCACCAGGGGGCCCGGCCGCCCCTGCGACCCGGTATGTACGCCCAGGGCCAGCCTCTTCCCCTGGGGGGCCCAGGAGCCGACCACCCCAGGGCCCCCCGAGGCTGGCCCTGCTGACCCCCTGTGGCCGGTTGGGCAGGCAGGCGCGCGAGGGAGCACTCAGTACTTCCTCTTCAGCTCCCTCGTGCACCGCAATGATACCGGAGCCGGAAGATGACGTCATCTTCCGGCGCCGGCATCCCTACGCGGCGCGCGAGGGAGCTGAAGAGGAAGTACTGAGTGCTCCCTCGCGCGCCCGCCTGCCCGACCGGCCACCCGCCCAGGAGCCCAGCAGCACCACTGGACCCCAGGGAATCCCCCCAGCACTCCAAAAGGTAAGGAGGCTGGGGGGATTACATTAAAAAACAAAACAAAAAAATCGTGTGTTAGTGTGTGTTAGTGTGAGTGTTAGTGTGTGTGAGTGTTAGAGTGAGTGTTAGTGTGTGTGAGTGTTAGAGTGAGTGTTAGTGTGTGAGAGTGTTAGAGTGAGTGTCTGCTAGTGAGTGTTAGTGTGTTAGTGTGAGTGTCTGCTAGTGAGTGTCAGTGAGTGTGTTACTGTGTGTGTCTTACTGAGTGTGTGTGTGTGTGTGTGTTAGTGAGTCTGTTTGATGTCTGTTAGTGAGTGTGTGTGTCAATGAGAGTGTATGTTTTGTAAGTGAGTGTGTATGTATGTCTGTCGCTGACTGTGTCTTTGTCAGTAAATGTGTGCGTCTGTTAGCTAGTGTGTATGTGTGTGTGTGTCTTCAGCACTTACCTTTCTCCAGCGCCGGACTCCCTTGGCGCTGAGGATCCCTCAGCCTCTCAGCTCCGAATGCGACCGCGCACGCATTCAAACCTCCCATAGGAAAGCATTACTCAATGCTTTTCTATGGACGTTCAGTGTGCTCCTCTAGCGGCTGTCAGTGAGATTCTCTGAAACTGCTATGTTTTCAGCTGCAGGGTTAAAACTAGAGGGACCTGACACCCAGACAACTTCATTGAGCTGATGTGATCTGGGTGTCTGTAGTGGTCCTTTAAAGGACCACTATAGTGCCAGGAAAACATACTCGTTTTCCTGGCACTATAGTGCCCTGAGGGTGCCCCACCCTCAGGGACCCCCTCCCGCCCGGCTCTGGAAGGGGGAAAGGGGTTAAAACTTACCTTTTTCCAGCGCTGGGCGGAGAGCTCTCCTCCTCCAATCCTCCTTCTCTCCTCCCCGTCGGCTGGCTGCGCGTGCATTCAGCCGGTCACATAGGAAAGCATTCATAATGCTTTCCTATGGACGCTGGCGTGCTCTCACTGTGAAAATCACAGTGAGAAGCACGCAAGCGCCTCTAGCGGCTGTCAATGGGACAGCCACTAGAGGAAATAGGGGAAGGCTTAACCCATTCATAAACACAGCAGTTTCTCTAAAACTGTTATGTTTATGAAAAAATGGGTTAACCCTAGCTGGACCTGGCACCCAGACCACTTCATTAAGCTGAAGTGGTCTGGGTGCCTATAGTGGTCCTTTAAGTGTGTGTGCATCTGCATGCACTGGCGTACATACCGCAGTCGCAGGGGTCGCAGCCCCCTGCGGGGGGGCCCACGGATCAATTTTCGCACCGGGGCCCCATGGGTCATGTGTACGCCACTGGTAATAAGATCTCAGGCTAGGCAATCCTTAAACTCCTCTCAATTTTGGTCTGTAAAGCACTGTCCTGGCCACCCGTGGCTTCTGGCTAATCCAAACAAAGTCATTAATAGAAGTCTGGAGGGTCAGCAAGTCAGAACCAGCAGCTGGGATCAGGAGCATCTGAAATAGGTAAAGTAAACGTGACATAATAAATACTGTGCCCTGCTAGGAAATTACATATGTGTTCCAATGTTCCATGTCTCTTTTTAAGGCAGAGTAAATTGGAGGATAATTGATGGTATAAAGATCTGATGGCAGTGCAGTTAATCTAATGCCAAGATAAGGGATAGAGGAGGAGGTAAACTGAATCTGAAAGACTTCCAACAATTGATTACAATCTTCCTGTGGGACTTATAGGAAAAGGGTGATGGCTTTGTCAATATTCACTTTATAACCTGCCAGGAATAAAAAAATATAAGGAGCACCAAAAACAGTGCAGGGATGGAAGAGGCTGGCTGGGTAATGGTAAAAATAAAATTATCCCTGTATTACTTACTTGGTATAAAAAAACCTTAACCATAAGATTGTTTGATGTGATAGATAAGAGGCTCAATAGACAGGGCAAACAATAGGAGCGACAGTGGGCACACTGGTCTGGTGCCATTAAAATAAGAAAGGGAGAGGATGATATGCCTGGGATAGAAATCTGAGCCCTAGGTGAGTGGTACAAAGCTGATACAGCCGTGATAAAGTTAGGTGAAAAGTAGAGATATTTCACTAAAGTAAATAAAAAGGGCTATTTGATTTTGTCAAATGTCTTCTCCACTTCCAAATAGAGGAACAGAAAAAGTGTTTTGGTGGTTCACACACCATGCAAGATCGTCTGGTGCTCATATATTTCACTTGGTATTCTCATATGCCAGTCTACCTGGAATAAATCTGGATGGATGAGGTACAGCAGTACTGAATTAACATAGAGGGCCAGGAGTTTAGCAAAAATATAACTGTTCATCTTCCAATCCTATTGAATCTTTCCAGTTTACACAGAGTCACCTGAGGTGTGGGAGACAGAGTGATTATACATTTCAGAGCAAAACTGAGAGAATACATCTCTAATGCCGGCAGGAGAGGAGACTAATTTGTTATTTAAATCTTTAATGTTTGGAATTGTCTGGATGGCCTACACTCCTCGCAATCATGTCCATCTTATTGTCTTGTTCTCATAAGGGATCTGCAGGCATTGTCCATAAGGAGGGCTCTGAGTTCCTGTCCAGTTTTACCAGCCGCATAAAAATGATTAGATTTTTATTAGAACTCAATTTTATGCAGTCGGGATTGGAGTGAAATTAGGACCACCATTCTTTACTTCCTATAATGGGAGGTATGTTTAATAATCACACAGCCTTAAGGGCTACCCAGATACTAGACCAGGGGTAGGCAACCTTCGGCACCCCAGTTGTTTTGTACTACATCTCCCATAATGCTTTTACACCCATAATGCTGACAAAGCATCAAGGGAAAAGTTGTCCCTAACAT